TACACCAGCTGTTGACTCTAACGAATGACGAATCCAAGATCTCCAGGCCGAATGGTGAACTGTTCACTCACAGACAGTTGTAGGCAGCACAACAGAATCCTGATCCACAGAATAATGTCTCTCTTCCCAGGATGTCCATGGATATACTGGAAGCAGGCCACACCCCTAGGGAAATTCCCCTTCGACAGACTGGCCACTCAGAACATAGTCATCTGATCCCATCATGGGAACAACCATACCACAACAGTTCAAACCACACAGAATTATGGTCCAGCCAAGTTGACACACAGCTCCAACTATCACAGTCCACCCTGTATCAACTTGGCAGTTGTACACATCTTCTTAACCATACACAAGCTCTAAATAAGGGCAATTATAAAGTCATATTTGTGCCTAACATGATACACTAACACACATACAACCAAAATGCATTAACCTTATTTACATTTCACAGTTCATAAAAGAAGGAAACAAAAATATCTGATGCACATATACAATGAAGAAATATAACAATCACAGTCCTTATTTCTGCAGCTGGTTGGTTACATGGTTGTAGCTAATATTCAGAACTACCTTCTTCCACCACCCATTCTGTATTTCCCTTGCCCTCAGCAAGCACCTCAGCTGGTTGTGGTTCTTTGACTGGTGGGGTGACCCAAACCTTCATTCCTGAAGGGTCTGGGTCATTAGCAGTCATATCAGAATTGGGTTGCTTTACTTTTCCATTGACTTTAATCACAGGGCATGGTAGTACTAAGAGAAGTCCTAAAGAATCTCCTGTATTCCAGACATATTCTTCTTTACCTCCATCATGTAAAGCCAACCCAATTTCCCCTTGGTAATCAGGATCTATCACACTAGATAGTACAGTAATACCCTTCTTTGTCTGTTAATCCCGAGGCATGAGGAAGCCAAAATGGCAAGGTGGCATTCTTAACTTCCAGTTCAATGCAATCAGTATTGTGTCTCCAGGTGGGAGTGTTCCTCCCTTTGGGACTAAGATTTCCAGACCTGCAGAGCATAGGGTAGTAAGGACAGGGAGCAAAAATATTTGAGTGGGTCACTAGGGGAAATAGTGAGTGGTACCACTCTTGTTTCCACCCCTTGGTTCCTGGACCCATGAATCCTGGCTATTGGAGAAACAGAACCATATATTGGACGCTGGTTTAGAGCATATACAGCCTCCTGAAGAACATTGCCCCAACCCTTCAAGGTATTGCCACCTGGCACCATATTTGTGTTTTTAAGAGGCCATTCCATCATTCTATCAAGCCAGCTGCTTCAGGATGATGTGGAACATGGTAAGACAGTGAATTCCATGAGCATAAGCCCATTGCTGCAGTTCATTTGCTGTGAAATTAGTCCCTTGATCTGAAGCAATGCTGTGTGGGATACCATGACGGTGGATAAGGCATTCTGTAAGTCCACAGATAGTAGTTTTAGCAGAAGCACTGCATGCAAGGAAGGTGAATCCATATCCAGAATAAGTATCTATTCCAGTAAGAACAAAACGCTGTCCTTTTCATGATGGAAGTGGTCCAATGTAATCAACCTGCCACCAGGTTGCTGGCTGATCACCCTGAGGAATGGTTCCATATTGTGGACTCAGTGTTGGTCCCTGCTGTTGGCAGATTGGGCACTCAGCAGTGGTGGTAGTCAAATCAACCTTGGTAAGCAGGAGTCCATGTTGCTGAGCCCATGCATAACCTCTATCCCTGCCACCATGGCCACTTTGTTCATGAGCCCATTGAGCAATGACAGGAGTACCTGGGGAAAAAGGATGGCTGGTTTCCACTGAACATGTCATCCTATCCACCTGATTCTTAAAGTCTTCCTCTGCCGAGGTCACCTTTTAGTGGACATTCACATGAGACACAAATACCTTTACTCCTTTGGCCCATTCAGAGATCTATCCACATACCTCTTCCTCATATATCCTTATCAACAATCTTCTAATCATGCTCCTTCCAAGTACCAGACCATCCAGCTAAGCTGTTAGCCACAGCCCATCCTTATGATTTTGTCTCTCTAGAACCACTCTCGGTACCAAACGTGTTAGACTGGGTTCTCTAGAGAAACAAAACCCAGTAAAGCTTATATATATGTATATATAAAGATAAATTTATCTTAGGAAAATGGCTCACACACTTATAGAAGCTTGCAAGTCCAAAGTTCCTGGATCAAACATCAAGCTGGAGGCTTTTCCTGGCTCTTGCAACTGCAGGGGCTGAGAAGCTCAAGCCTGGCATGCAGTACACCAGCTGTTGACTCCAATGAATGATGAATTCAAGATCTCCAGGCCGAATGGTGAACTATTCACTCACGGAAAGTTGTAGGCAGCACAACAGAATCCCGATCCACAGAATGTCTCTCTTCCCAGGATGTCCTTGGATATACTGGAAGCAGGCCACACCCCTAGGGAAACTCTCCTTCAACAGAATGACCACTCAGAACATAGTCATCTGATCCCATCATGGGAACAACCATACCACAACAGTGCAAACCACACAGAATTGTGGTCCAGCCAAGTTGACACACAGCTCCAACTATTACACTTTCTTACCTCTTCATGCATACAGAAGAGGATACATGCTTATAGAAAAGGTAATAATAAACTATAATTACCAAAACATACTGCAGAGATTAAAAAACTCATAACTGGGTATAAAGTTTTTAGTAAAGTTTGTAAGTAGAACATTCAGATATTGTTAAACTAAATTAGCTTTTGTTTGAAAAACTTGTTTTGCATAATAGAAATAAAAATAATTCAAGATATTGTTTATCAGATCCTACACATAGATACTGGATGGTTTTAGGAAATTTTGGTAATATAGTAACAGGATAATGCTCTTTCCATGACTAATTTAAAGAAAATGAAGTATTTTTACATCTGTAAATTTCAGTTTTTAAATACCATTTGTGCACCAAATCTCTCTCAATTGCATTATTCAAATGGCTGAATCCATGGAAGGAACTTTCTTATATAAATTAGGTCAAGACAGAATTTTGCACATAAGTAACTAAATTTGCTAATATTTCAAAGAATTAGGAAATATATTTTCTTTCATTATATATTTTAACAAAAATGTTATTGCAAAATGTGAAAAAGATTTGGAGAAAAAATGAACTATGATATAATACTAAAATCAGAGAGAGGTAATATACATCTAATATCACAGTAAGTCTGTGTCTGCAACATGAGTTGTAGAAGTAATGAAATGAAGACTAAAGGGAGAAGACACATGAATTGTCCTGTTACAGACATCTAAAAAACATACATACAAAATCAGGAATTACAGAAAAAAAAGTTATTTTGTCGGGCTCTGAATCATTCCACCCTTACTTTCTTCCCAGAATTCTGTTTATAAGACCCTCTGTCCCACAGAAGGAATGAAATGTGGATAAACTGGCCTGAGGCAAGATTCTAACTATCCTTTACAAACACACAATGTACCACATTCATTCAGAAATTTGAATATAGTATGAATAATACCTAAATATATTCCTATTCCCAAATTTGTGTTTCTGCCTCCATAGGAAGGTAAAATTTTCTTTATCCTCTTTCTAAATGGTGAGTTACTATTTCCTTTCCTGTTCTCCACACCTTGTCAAAAAGAGGAGAGGATTTATGTTGCTGTCCATATCAGATTCTTTGAAATGTGGATCTGTAACAGAATTTCAACTTTGTGAACAAAAATAAAAGCTTCAAACATTTGTCACTGCCTCCCTTTTGTTTTTTGGTCAAAAATAATCAATTCAGATTAATTTGTCTCTAAGTCAGTATGAATCAGAGGTTGATTTGTTAAAATTATTGTTATACAAATTACAAAGAGATTTCATTTTAGAGTATGTACATTTTAGATTTGATCAAAAAGATGAGTAAGAAGAAAGCCAAGAATACAGCATTCGGACTGTAAATAAAGTAGCAGGTTATAGAAAGGGGGGTTCTTTTGGAATGATGCTCAGCAGGAAAATTTGTAGTCACATTTAGGATATAGCAGGCTAGGAAGGAAAAAATACCCGAGACTGAATTTCTGTAAACATTAATCCAATGCTGTGCTGGAAACTAAGTCCAAATTTTGAGAACAACAGCAGCAAAAGGAGCCCTGGGTTTGGAGGGTTTTGTTAATGACACAATTGCTAAGGGATTTAGGATTATAAACCCTGAGGAAAGGAGCTGGAAGACTGGTGGTACAGAAAGAATGAAAGTAAAGAAAAAAGAGAGAGAGAGTAGAAAAGAATATAAAAATGTATCACCACAGACAATACTGTTTTTTTTAAAGGAGACCAAACTGTAATTTCTTATATATAAATACCAGTCAGTGGGTGTTAATGCCTTGACATTTTAATTCAACAAATGAGAATGACGACAAAATAATACAAATAAAGGAAGGCTGCTTTGATACCTGTTTTGAATCTAAGATTTAAAACAATGAGTTATTTTTTTTATGTAAGTGGCTGGGCCAGATAGGGAGGAGGTCTTTCATTTTATGCTCAATGAGTAATAAAGTATTCTGAACTGCTGATACTCTAGTATAAATGTATGTACTACAAAGCTAAACTCAAGGCCTTTTACATTACCTGGAAACTTTTGGGATCCACAGACTTTTTGAGTTGTTATTATTATTATTATCAGTATTATTTAAAGAGCAGAGTAATTTAATTTTATTTGTTATAATTAGCTATATCTTAAAAATTTTATGTCCTTCCAATTTATATTTCAAAATGAAAAATTAATGCCAACACATATTGTAAGGAGAGAAAGATTATAGGTTAGACTGAAAAAAAAGTATTCAAAAATTTACTCATCACTATGAACTAAACTTATTTGCCTATTGACTGATGAAGTATACTTAGTTTTACGAGATATAGTGTGTTTATATCATCAGGGAGTGGACCATAAACAGACCACTAGACTATGATTCTATACTATACTATATAGTTATGCACATTAAGAATAACAAAAAGTGGGCTGCTACTAATAAGTTTATGGTACCTACCAAACTCCAGGATATACTGATGGGCTTCATCCACATAGCGAATGAGTTGTTGGAGGAAACTATATGCAAATCGTTTCTCAATAGAAGGTGTATCCAATTCAAGTTCCTTGAATCCTCTAGAACAGCAAAAATTAGGCATGGAAAGTAATTTATACAAAGCCTACCATTGTGTGTTGTTGAGCTGATAATAACTCATAGTGACTCTGTATGACAGAGTAGAACTTCCCCATATGGTTTCCTAGGCTGCAATCGTTTTTTTTTTTTTTTTTTTTTTCTATCTAACATTTCAAGCAGCTAATTAGTATTAGACTTCATTTTCCCCAGCTCCAAATCTTTTTCCCTGTTGTATATAGATTCGCTATGAATCAGAAGCAAGTCAATGGCACTTAACCACCACAACAATAGGGTCCAATCGTTTTTTTTTTTTTTTTTTTT